AGCAAGACTGCAATTGATTGAAAAGTACCTAGAAGGTAAAGAAATAGAAATCTACACTGAGTGTAGATAAAACTTTAAAGAAGCTTGGCTAAAACAGGAGCAAGGCCGGGTTCAGGGGCTCATGCCTGTAATCTTAGTACTCTGGGAGGGCAGAGTGGGAAGACTGCTTAAGCTCAAGAGTTCAAGACCAGCCTGAGCAAGAGCAAGACCCCGTCTCTACTTAAAAATAGAAAAATTAACCAGGTGTGGTGGCATGTGCCTGTAGTCCCAGCTATTCAGGAGGCTGAGGCAAGAGGATCGCTTGACTTCAGGAGTTGGAGTTGGAGGTTGCAGTGAGCTATGATGACACCACTGCAGTCTACCCAGGGCAAGGGCAATAGAGTGAGATTCTGTCTCAAAAAAAAAAGATAATCACTTGCCAAATCATGCATTTGAAAGAATGAGGATATACCTTCACAAGAAAAATAAAACATGAAGTGTCAAAGTGAAATGTCAGAGTGAAATATCAACTGTCAAACTCTGTACTTAAGAAAATCGGACATTTCATACTTAATAACCTAAATAAAAAGGCATTTAAATGCATAGCTGTTAAAGTTTAGGATAACTACTCTATTATGTGTCCACAGTATTCTTACTCCAGATCCTGGGACAAACGAAAAATAACTACTGCAGATAAGATACTGTCTAATCGTTATTAAAAACCAAAATCTGTATCAGCTGGGTTTTCTAGACCAATTATGAATTCACTCAACAAGGAGTATTTCTTCACCCATATTCTCAGAGAGCTCTCAACCTCTAGGAAAAGATTTGGCTTAAACTGCAGAAAGCCTAATCCTTGAGAAGTCAGGGGAGACACAGTTCACTACTTCTAATCTTCACTCGAGATCTGGAAGTCAGCCCTAGCAGTATTCTGTAGGTAGCCCCCACATTCCCTGCCCTTCCTAACCCAAACCCCATCTTTCTACTCTTTGCCTCAGGACTCCAAAAGCCCGTTTTATGATTTGGGGCATTATTTAACATCATGCTGAAACTTTAAAACCAAATCCCTCCCTCTTACCTGACATCCTCAAATTATTTTTCTTCCTGTATTCAACTTCTAATGAAAAGTTTTTGACAAAGAATTTGGAAGATAGCTTCTTCATTAGTCTTTCCTCCAAACCTCTCAAAACATATGCAAATATTTATAACATTTATAATACCACCCTAATGCCAAAGAAATTAAACCCAAATTATAGTTTGGATGCAAGAAACAATATCTAGTTGCCCTACCTTTCAGGCTACTGCTGTCTTAGTATGCTTTATCAAACACTAGTCTTTCAATGTGTCTTTCAATTTGTTATTAGCAAACTAATGTCAAACTCTCAAATCCAAGGAATGAGTTTAAAATAAATTCAGCTAATTAAAATCATGCCTAGGCCGGGCGCGGTGGCTCA